CTTATATATCCTACTTCAAAAGTAAAGAAGTTGTATTAGATAGACATTTGGCTCAAAAAAATAATAATCTAACAAAGTGGAAGTACAAGAAATAACATATAAAATATAAATTATTAGATAGTAACAGAATGGAAACTACAACAAAATAATACAATAATTGAGGTACAAGAAACAACAGATAGTAACAAAAAAAAAACAGAAACTGCAGGAGCAATATTATATACAACTATTAATATTAATATAAACAAACAACAAGACAGCGTATCCAGAGACGGACCTACCTTATTAAGTAGGGGTGCACGTGCATCCGTTAACTTCGGAAAAAATCATGTGTATATATGTATATCTATCTTAAGAAACTGATAGAAATTAAGATATAATTAATAGTGCACCCATTCAAAACATATGAGTGTTCTTGTGTTATTGGTATAAGGCACAGGAACCACCCGTGAGACTAGGGTTCGAATCTAGCTAAAGTGCTAATTCATTATGTTTATTTTAAGTTTTGCTCAGAGATCATATTTGGTGAACCCGAAGTCTTCAAATCCTAATTTATTGAACATCTACTAAATAAGATTCCAAATTATTTTGTATTCCAAGCATCTAAACATACAAACAAAATCAAAATAATTCAATCATTCACTATCAGTATCCCAAACATATTAAAGATTAAAAAATGTATATTTTTACTTTAAAATATGGTTGGTGATTCCATACTTTCATCTCCTTTGGGTCCTTCTGCATGTGAGAAAGATGCAAAATACTTCAATTCATTGAAGAAATAACTAGAATTATTGATGTCGTCCAATAAAGTGTCTTGGATGGGATATGACCCGAAACTCCCAAATTGAATATCTCAGTGACCGTCTAACTTTTGAACCCAATATTCAGATAGTAACTTATGAAGATTTTCAGGTGAAGATCCAACATACAAAATACGATTCATATCCATTTTCGAATCACTTCCAAACAATTTAAAGAATCAACAGTTAATGAATACCTGATCGTTGATCTTTTTGTATTTCACCGATAATTTCAAAGTTCAACAAAATCAATCGAATTCACTTCGAAATTTCCAATCAATTATTTCAAAATTTTCTTCCCTAATGAAACAATTGCAAATTAGTCAAATTTCACTTCGACAAATGTTGAAAATCATTTTTTTCTCAAAAAGATGTTGAAAATCTTTTGAATGATTTATGAGATTTCTTAGAAATATAGAAGAATTTGATTTAAAAAAGGCAAGGTTTAAGTTACTTGAGAATATGAAAGAATGGAAGAAATCATGAGAGAGAAAAAGAAATGATATAACTTGGGTAAAAAAATTTAGAGAGAGAAGTGAGTAATGGAGTCTTTTGTTTTTTCCTTTCACCCATAATGGAATCAAAAAGTGCGTCTAATTTGAGAAATAAAAGAAAGGTATATTTTCTACTATTGTTTGTCCTTAAAAGAAACTTGACAACTTTAAAGTGACCACACTTCTGTTATTGAGACCACAATGAACATTTTTTTTCTCATTTGGTATCCGGTAACTAATTGAATCTCGATTAAATTTAGATAGGGGTGTCAATGGTACGGTTTAATCGGTTATTTTTTAAAAATTATACCGTTCCAATTTTTGGATATTTTATAATATATACCAAATATTAAAAATTTTAAAATCATCCCAATCGTATCGGTTTCTCTTCGGTATTCGTACGATTCAATTAATTTTTGTTATTTTTTTTAGTCTACCCAAATGAAGTTGGAACACATAATTAAGTAAAAAAAAAAAAAATTAGTTTATTTTAGATAAAATATGATGAAAATGTAATTAAGTAAATATAAATAATATACTAATTTTCTTTTACGATAGTGGAAAGATTTTTTTATGGTGGAGAGTGGGGAGTGAAAAGACCAATGCAGCAGAGAAGGACTGCATGAATCGGAATCCGCTTATTAAGACAGACGACCGAGAAAGAAAGGCTCCGCGTTCGAACATTGGTTGATCTTAGCTTAGCGTGCTAGCCGCTGCTTCATTTCGTATAGTGATAACGCTTTCTCTTTCTTAGCGCTCCGCCCCCCTTGTATAGTAAGGGCTACTTTGGTTGCGCGGCTTTCTCTTATAGGGTGACTTGACTCAGCTTGACCTACTTGACTCAGCGGTTAGAGTATCGCTTTCATACGGCGAGAGTCATTGGTTCAAATCCAATAGTAGGTAAAACCGACCGAAACCCCTGCTTTTGCCAGCATGACAGCAAGCACGGACTGGCAGCAAGGAGTCAATTGAATGATCAAGGCATCGGTTGCTTCCACCTGTGGCCTTCTTCGACCGCCTTGACACCTTAATATCAAGGAACCCCCCCTATTCCACAAGTAGGTGGAGACCTGGAGGGTCGGAAACCTCAACGGGAAACCTTTCACCGCGCCACACGATTCTTTCGCGAAGCGCTCTTTCCACTCCTGCCCCCGCAAGCAAAGAGGTTTCAAGATAGCAGGCGACCAAAAAGCTCCGAGCAAATCTTCTAGAGAGCGTACCCTTAGTTTCGACTCTTTCTCTATTCTAAAACGAAAAATAGAAAAAAGAAAAAGAAGCCAATTTTTTTTCTATGGACCCCTTCCACCAGATTACTTTACTGACTGTAATTCATTCAAAAAGAGTAAAGGAACTGGTTTCACAAAAGGGCTCTCAAAAGCGATCTGATACCTTCTTCCCTTGGTCTGGGAGGTAGGTTATGTAGGCGACAACTGTTCATAGGTTGCTCGATCAGGCCAAATAACCGATTAGTAGTATGCCTGAGATTGCCATAAGACCTTCTCCCTCTTGGAAACTGGCTAATCAAAAGGATTTTCCTTTTTTGAAATTTTCCGCTTTCTTGCCTTATTATGGGAGTACAATGTTTATGGATAGTATTAAGCATTGGTTCAAACTTTAACCTCACATCAGTGCCTAGGGCCTACTGAAGCGCTGCAGATCCTAGCAGAGTATCATGAATGAAGGCCTAAGTGATGCTCATCAGTGTCGGGACAGCGCCAAAAAAGGAATAGATAGGTGGTTCAGTATAGTTTTAAGTAAAAAAAAAAAAAATAGTTTATTTTAGAAAAAATATGATGAAAATGTAATTAAGTAAATATAAATAATATACTAATTTTCTTTTACGCGAGTCGATCACACAATTCAATAATTATAATATTTTTTGTTTAGGGCAAAATGTTAGTAGCTAGATAACAGTGCGGTGTTTTTATGTCCGTTTATATTAGTATTCTCTTGTTCTTTTTTGTTAATAGTTATCTGTGTTTTATTTCTTGTACTCTGATTATTGTATTATTTTGTTGCTATCTACTATTAGTTGAATACATGTTGAATCTAATATGTTAGAGTACTATTTATTTGCCTTTTAGGGTGTGTTTGGTATGAAGGAAAACATTTTCCGGAAAATGTTTTTCAATTTTTTCATATTTGGTTGGATTGAATGTTTTGGAAAATATTTTCCAAATCAACTCATTTTTTTCAAATTTAAGGAAAATGACTTCCCTTCAAAA